AGTGGAGTCCCGGATCATGCTCCCTCATTATTTGTTTGTTTGCTTGCTTCCTATATGTTTTTTTTTTTTATTATAATGGTCTTTTGTGCTATCATCCACACATGCAAAATCGGTTGATAACATAACTGCAATAAAGTAATAGTCTAGTTAACAAGTACTTGTTTACATAGAATATGTAATGTAGCCTAGGCCTATTTAATATTATTTAGGCACTTATAGGCTATATTTTGACAGAATGTTCTAATTCAACATGCCATGGGAAGTCAATCTAACTTAACATCATCTTATTGATATTGTTTTTTCTTACACCTTAACAGTTTATCAGGCTCTTAATGATTTAATCTATGTCATCTCTTGGAATATGTGAAGGCCAGGCTTTTCCATCACTTATCATTAGAACCCATGGCTCTCGATTCTGACTTGTACTTGCTCTTATGAAAATGTACCATAGTTCTTAACAGAATTTGTTATAATAAGGCTAGCCTATTAATCATTACCAGGCCAATAATTACTTTTTTTTTAATTATTAATCTATATAGCATTTGTTATGAAAAACAACAGCCTGCAAATTTAGAAACAATAGCTAGGCTACAACAAGTCACAGTTGTAATATAAATCTATAGGGAAAAATCTATTCCCTTAACAGATTAGGCCTATCTATTATAAATTCTACAACAAGTTCAACAAAATGTACCATAATAAATAAGCCTACAATAAAACGTGAGAAATTCTTCTGATAAAGGTGGTCATGAGTAGTTTAAAATGATTTTAATATATTTACATTTACATTACATTTAGATTTAGACATTTAGCAGACACTTTTATCCAAAGCGACTTACAAATGAGGAGAATGGTGTAGCATTTGGACCAATCAGACACATTTGTTCAGTAGATTTAACAAATCAATTATTCATTAGATTAACCATGTCAAAAGCAGCGGACAGATCCAGCAAGATAAGTATTGGAGATTTGGAAGCCGCTCTTGCCAGTCTTAGGGCTTCAACAACTGAGAGCACGGCAGTCTCGGTTGAATGTCCACTTCTGAAACCAGACTGGTTGCTGTCGAGGAGGTTGTTCTGTGTGAGAAAGGCAGACACTTGGTTGAACACAGCTGGTTCAAGTGTTTTTGCAATGAAAGGAAGAAGGGAAACCGGTCTATAGTTCTCTAAAAAAGATGGGTTAAGGGTGGGTTTCTTAAGTAGTGGGGTTATACAAGCCTGTCTAAATGCTGAGGGAAAAACACCAGCGTGAAGGGATGTGTTGATGTGAGTGAGTGCAGGTACAACTGCAGGAGAAATGGCTTGAAGAAGATGAGATGGAATAGGATCAAGCGGACAAGTAGTAGGATGATTAATAGAATTCAAATAGATCACACATTTTACCATCAGCTTCGCGATAGGAATTGCTCGCGCAAATCTGATCACACTTTTCGAGCGTGCAGAGTGTTAGGTGATTCGTGAAGTCGCGATTTAATTAACAGCCTGATTCTAGGGTTCCATTACCCATAAATATTGGGGGGTTACAGCAAACTACGCCCCTGAGAGATATTCATGTGAGAAAAGTAAACGTATGCTTTTCTGAGGGTTATACTAAAGGCCCCGCCGTTTGTCTCGTATATTTTTAATACTGATTATAATTGATAGGCTCTAAAAATGCGCTTTTATGCTTCTCCTTGGGCTCTAGAGAGAAATGCTGCATAGTACCTGCATGAATGTAGCCTACATAGGAGTTCAGAGGCCGAGCCGCCGAGGTCAAGATTTTCATTCAATAATAAATGATATTTTTGTTTTATTTCTCGCGGTCCCTTACCGTATGCCTTCAGCAAACTTGGAATGGGATTTTATGACATGTTCACGTTTTTAGTGAATTGCATGTGTTAAATATTTCAATTAATTTTAATGAATATAATAATTAAAAACACGGTGTTGGCAGTTCAGCTTCGCTTAGTTTGCTTTATGTAATCTATCTTTTTTTGTGTACCATTCAAATAACTAACTACATAAATAAGTAAAATTAAAGGTATTAAAGCCCATTTTTTTCTGATTTGACAGCTTAAATCCATTCATGAGGTATATATTTGTATTATAAACAATGTTAATTAAATAGCATAGATTTATCTTAGCATTCTTGTTATTATTAAATGCACAGGAAACATGATGATTAGTGTGCTTTATTCTATGTTTGTTGCAGGTGAAACTCAACATCTCTCAGAGCTGAGGATTGTGTTAATGGGTAACAGAAATGTTGGGAAGAGTTCAACAAAAAACACTATTCTGGGCAGAGAGGAGATTGACTTCTTAACTCATCGGTGTGTAAAGAGACATGGAGAAGTAGCAAACAGACACATCACTGTCATTGAAGCTCCAGGATGGTGGAGGAACGAATCTGTCGAGGAGAGTCCTGAGTTACTGAAACAGGAGATTTTGCTCAGTGTGTCTCTGTGTCCTCCAGGACCACATGCTGTATTACTGATCATACGTGCGGACTACCCATTTACAGAGAATAATAGAAAAGTATTGCAGGGGTATGTGGATCTTCTCTGTGAGAGAGTCTGGAGTCACACTATAGTGCTGTTCACTCGTGGAGACTCTCTGTTAGACACATCTATAGAGCAGCACATTGAGAGTGAAGGGCAGGATCTCCAGTGGCTGCTGGACAAATGTGGGAACAGGTATCATGTTCTCAACAATCAGAACAGGAGTGACGACACTCAGATCAAGGAGCTGCTGGAGAAGATTGAGGAGACAGTGGCACAAAACAACGGCTGCCATTTGGAAATAGACAGAAAGAATTCAGAAGTCATAAATCGAAGCAAGGGATCTTCAAGAGGAAGCTTTGAAAATGCAACAGATATGAGTAAGTAAATTCTTCTTGATGGATACTTGATGGATAATTTATTTTCAGTTTGAAGATGCAAGCTGAAACCAGCCAAAAAAAAAAAAGAAAGTAACAAAACCAAAATAAATCTTACTAACCCATTTTAGTCTAATTCTGAACTAAGAAAAGAAAAATGTGAAAAGAAAAACAATCTTCAACGTCCGAGACATCGTAACTCAACTACACTACCTAACCAAACAAAAACATACAGAAAGTGGCACAAATCCCTAACCTAGGGTGTCTAGACAACGAAATCAACCTAAATGTGCACCAAGTAAGTCACATGACATAACTTACCTACCCCCTTCACCTCCAATCCAGTTTTAACAGAACCTTGAAAAGCTTTCTAAGGACAGCAAATAGATAAGATGTTCTACATGGCCGTCAAAGCACATTATAAACTAAAGCATACAAACTAAACTAGTGATGTTACGTTCTGTGCCGAGGCTTCGGCACGTGTGTCGAGAAATCCTGGCAGCTTTCAGTGAAGTGCGTATCGAGGCTTGTATCGAGTAAGAGTAATGATGTCATTGATGACGTCCGAAGCCTCGCTTGGCCAGACTGGTTCAGGAAGCGGTTTGAATCTTGTAAATTCACAGTCCTCTGCCCTGTTAAACCCAGCCACTTTCCAGTTATTAGTTTAATCATATTGGCCCTCCTGCCTATTATGAGCAAAGACTTGATTTACACACACTTGATAGCCCTATTAATTTCAAGCCAATACCTTTATTACACAGTTATGTTATATTATGTTATACAATCATTATGAAATACACATTATATTAATATAAATAGATTAGTCTATGTGGAAATTGATTTTTTTTTCTTCACCGTTATTTCTAAGCCTTAAAGTCTGAATGAAATCAAAATTGACTTTATTTACTTTACTAGCGCACATTGCTAGTCTTGATGTGAACAATTAACCCGTGCAAGTTAATCCGCTGAAAAAAATTGTTTGTCTTGGTAATCTTTAATCAAAATCTGAACATTTACTTCCGCACTGGAATGGCATTCCTTCTGTGATTACGTCTGTTTGACGGCTTGGGCAGAATATCGTTAGGTTACTGACGTAACCCCGGTTCTCTGATAACATGAAGTGAGGTATCTCACTATGGGAACACCTCAGGTGTGACCAATTGCGGAAGCACCAATAACACGTCTGCCAATTATTTCAGACCAATCGCTGCAGCGATCAGGGAGTCCCGCCTCCCTGTATATAAACCGCAGCTACCTGCCGTTTCTTCATTCTCCGCATATCTCTTCTCCGTGCAGTAAAGACAAGGAGGGCAATGTTTGTGAGATTCCTCACTTCATGTTATCAGAGAACCGGGGTTACGTCAGTAACCTAACATTCTCTTTCTAACATTCGTTCGGTATCTCACTATGGGATATAGACTACTCCCGTATTGCCGATATGCTGACAAAGCAGACTAAAGAAAGAGTAGGTTATTATCTAAATCATAACTCCCGACGGAGGTGAAAACAGAATAATATGAGGAATTCGCCCCTTAATGACCTGCATTATTCACCCTGACTACTCACTCCCAGGACTGAGTGGGCCAGAGAGGGTTCTGTCACATCCAGTCTATAGAAACGAGCAAATGAGTGCGGAGAAGACCAGCTGGCTGCCGAGGTGAAAACAGAATAATATGAGGAATTCGCCCCTTAATGACCTGCATTATTCACCCTGACTACTCACTCCCAGGACTGAGTGGGCCAGAGAGGGTTCCGTCACATCCAGTCTATAGAATCGAGCAAATGTGTGCGGAGAAGACCAGCTGGCTTCCGCGCAAATTTCTTGAATAGAAATGCCTCTAAACAGAGCCCCGGATGTAGCCACATCTCTAGTAGAGTGTGCTCGTAATCCTATTGGTGGCTCTATATTCGCATTATTGTAACATAACATGATAGCCTCCACCACCCAGTGGGAAAGGCGTTGATGGGAGATAGGTTTTCCTTTCTAAGAGTCAGCCCACGAGACAAATAGCTGATTGCTCTTACGAAGTGTGCGGGTTCTCTGAACATACGTATACAGAGCACGAACCGGACATAAACTGTGTAACCTCTCCTCCTCTGGGGATGAAAAAGGTGGTGGATGAAAAGCTAGCAGGTCCACTGATTGAACTGCACCAGCGTGATCAAACACTTTAGGCACAAACGCCGGGTTAGGTCTAAAAGTTACTTTTCGACCCCCCGGAGTGAACATCATACATGAGGAGTGAACTGATAAATCATGTAGCTCACTCACCCTTTTTGCTATAGTGAGAGCAAGTAACAGAGCCGTAAGACCAACATGACATGCCGAGATAGCGGACAGATAAACCTTAACTGTAGAGAAGGCTCTGCCCTTATCCAGAAGGTCCTGTAGGAAGCACAGCACATCCGAAACTGAACACAAGAAAGGAACAATGTTTCTATCGGCGCACCATCCCTCAAACACCCTCCATTTGAGATTATATAAAGAACGTGTCGAGGCAGCCCTCTTGTTCTTACAATTTGTAAGATTGTAAGAACAATCGAAAGTGATTGTCTCTATCACTTTCGGATGTAACACAGCTGCATTCAGATTTAGCCTCTCACGGGCCGGGCCCAGAGAGCTAGTTTCTGAGGGGAGGGGTGAAAAATTCCCCCCGTGCTTGTGAGAGGAGATCCCTGCGTGCTGGTAACGGCCATGGCTGGTCGTAGAGCAGTTGCACAATTTCCGCAACCCACAGTCTCCCCAGCCAGTATGGCGCGATCAGAATCATTACATGTTTGCATTGACGAACCCTCCGTAGTGTCGGCTTGATCAGGCTCAACGGAGAGAACGCATACAGTAACCCGTCTGGCCACTCGTGGGCTAGAGCATCCACACCCAACATCGTCACATCGTCGCCGGCCAGAGAGAAGAACAGGGGACATTGCGCGTCTTCGAGAGATCTACGGCGGCCCGGCCGAATCTCTGCCACACCATGAGGATCACTTGGGGGTGGAGTCTCCACTCCCCATACAGAGGATTCCCTCTGGACAGTAAGTCTGCTCCCCTGTTCATTATTCCTGGAACATGTGTCGCGCGTAACGACAGGAGGGTCCTGCTGCTCCACATAATCAGTTCTTTCACTAACAAGGGAAGCTTGTGAGAACGAACTCCTCCCTGCCGATTTATGTAGGCTATAACTGTTGTATTGTCTGTCCTGACCAATACATGATGATTCTTGAGAGAATGCACAAATGTCTCAGAGCTAGTAACACTGTTAGTAGTTCTAGAAAATTTATCGAACTTTTTAACCCCTTTTTTTACTAAGTGCTACAGTGGCCTCCTTTAACTGTGCAAATGTACCCCCAGCTCGTGAGAGATGCATCTGTCGTCACCACTTTCCTTAACTTAACAGGACCCAGAGGGCATCCTGTCCTGAGAAAAGACGGGCACTCCACTGACGAAGAGCGCTCATGCATTCCGGTGAGACACGCACTCTGCGGCTGAGACTCTGAGGCTCTGCTGAGATCCCTGGGAGCCAGAGCAAGGCCAAAGGTTATTTTCGTATACTCGTATGCTGTGCCCTGATAAGCGAACCTCAGATATTTCCTGTGAGCAGGATTTACTGAGGTGAACCAATCTCCCTGACGAATACTCTGACACAACATTCTGAGCGACAGCAATTTGAATTTGTATTTTCTGAGGTGTTCATTGAGGACCCGTAAATCCAAAATGGGATGGAGACCTCCCCCTCTTTTGGGAATCAAAAAATAACGGGAGTAAAAACCTATGTGGCTTTCTCTCGTTAGAATCACTCTTATCACTCCTTTTCTCATGAAGGAGGATACTTCGTCCTCTAAAACCTGAGCTGCTTCCCCTTGGGCCAATGAGCCAATGAGATTACCACTCCATTTAACACAGGAGGTTTTACAGTGAATTGAAGTCTGTATTGAAGTTTTTGTGGTTAAAACCCAGGGATGAACTGTGCATGCGCGCCAGTTCGCCGCCTGAGCTGCGAGTGGGCCCTTCCCGTCTTCTCTCACTTGTGTTGCAGCACACTCTAGTGGTGAAGGAGGGGAATAACGCTCCAGTAAAGGAGTTAGATTAGTCTTTATTTGTGATTGTATATAATTTTTTTGTGATATTTCTTTATTTTATTTTATTTTTTATCCCACTCTGCGCCCTCAGCCCTTGGCCTGGATGTGTCAGAGAAAACTTTATTTGTGGTGGGATGCTTATGAACTCTTGTCCTTCCTCCCTCAGAACAAACCTCATAGGTGGAGGGAGAGACAATTCTTTGGGGGGCACCAGAGGAACATGGGCCATTTCCCCATTGGACTTTGAACTGACCACGCAAGCCCATTTCACATATAAATTCCTTCTCCCTTTCCCCGCAGGAGGGAGAATAGAATCGTTCTGAAGGAATGGGACTGAGAAACCCTGAGTGCTGTCTCCAAACCCTGATGCCAAGCTGATGTCTCAGGTTGACCGCCTCTTTTTGTTTCCCTGAGGGGTTGCCGACCGGTGTTTTACTGCTGTGGCTGCGAAAGACTTTTTTGGTTTCACGAAACCCGGCTTTGACTGAGGGCCCGCATTTCCCGGTTGTTGCGGTGGAGCCTGACGGGAAGGTTGATAGTCAGAATGTCCCCCTCTCCCTGAAGGTCTGAAGTTCAGTCGGCTCGGGTGATAAGGCCAAGCTGCCGGCTTTCTGGGGAGACAGACCTCGAATGCCTCTCCCTCTTTTTTCCGCAGGTCACATTGCTGATGCATCGCTATTACCGTTGCGCCGAACATGGCCTTTGGATCAATAGGGGCATCCAAAAACTCCACCTTCTCTTTGTCAGAGAGGCCTGACAAACCCAACCATAGCGATCTCTCTCCCACAACCGCTAAGCCCATACTCCGACCGCAGCTTTGAACTGCTCCGGAGTCCATCTGACACCCCATCTCCTCAAATAACTCCGCTTGATAGGCAGTAAGGAGGGACGTCGCGTTCAAAGCACGAACGGCCAGTGCAGATGATTTATAGATCTTTTGAAAAACAGAGGCGGCTAAGCGCTCTGTCTTCCCTGGCAGCGAGGCTCCGGTTGAAGAGAGCGCTGCCCTGCAACTTGAGTGCAAATGATTAGCCACAGAAGATTCGACAGGGGGAGGATCTGCCATCCCCAAATCCTCCATTACCTGAACATCCAGCCTCGAGAAGCCCTTGACGGGCACACGGTGGGAAAAAGGCTTGTCCCAAAACCTCTTCATGTCAGCCACACAAGCCGGGACGGCTGAAATAAACTGCCTCGCTGGAGGGAGATGTGACGGAAGTCTCTTTCCATAATACAAATCCCTTTCAGCCCCCTGACCTGCAGGTTGGGATGGCCAGTCGATTGATAGTCTAGCCGCGGCCCTGCGACAGACCTCGAGTAGATTCATGTCCGTCTGTACAGGGGAGGGTGAACTCACATCCTGTGCACTCGGCGGACGCGACTGATTTGGGGGAAGAATAGCATCTTCATCATCGTCATCATTGTCCTCGAGGATGGCCGACAATACTTCATCCTCATCATCTTCCTCTCCCGCTAATGGATATTCGAACAGCGGGGGGAAGGACGAGTGACACCCTCTCCATCATCTCTCCCCACGAGCTGACGGCCTGCGAACAAGCCATCGGTTCCTCTCTGGGTTGAGCAGAGAGGCATGGGTCCGACTTCCCAGCTATTGCCAAGCGGAGTCTTCGCTCTCAGGTTTTAGCCGAGAAATTCGTGCAGTGAGGACAGCCCTCGGGGTTGGACAGAGCTGCCTGAGCGTGTTTAGCATCCAAACAGGAGATGCAGAGGCCATGTGAATCCTTCGCAGAAATCCACATTCCACAAGCACACGGATGGGGAGGAAGACTCCTTCCTCCAGGGCTCTCCGGCTCTTTCTCAGTGGCCATGGGGCCTGCACTCTCTTCGTACGGAAGCCCACCACAACATGACAACTAGTACGGAGCTGTGCTGCGATAGAGAGCTCTACTTTTCCTTCTTTTTGGTGCGTGGTGAGCCCCCTCAAAAACTTGGAAAATAAATGGAAAACTTAGAGCAGAAAACTCTCCCTGACGCATTAGTTATCTCACTCTAAGTGAAGTCGCTCAACAAACCTTAGGAATGTATTGCGTTTGGGACGTTACCTTGCGGCTCCGACTGTAAACTGTTAAGCAAATAATTCCCGAAGTCTGCTGAGCCAGCTTCTGAAATCTTCACGGGGAAGAGAGCGAGAATGACGAAACGGCAGGTAGCTGCGGTTTATATACAGGGAGGCGGGATTCCCTGATTGCTGCAGTGATTGGTCTTCCATAGTTGGCAGACATGGTGTTATTGGTGCGTTCCCATAGTGAGATACCTAACGAATGTTAGAAAGAGAACCTTAAACACACCCCTCCAACCGTTAGGTTGCTATGAGTGAGAGACAGAGAGGAGGAGCGCAAAAATAAAACCATGCCCTCTATTCAATATTCCATGCGCGTATCGAGGCTTGTATCGCTTTAGAGCAATGACGTAATTGATGACGTCCGAAGCCTCGCTTGGCCAGACTGGTTCAGGAAGCGGTTTGAATCTTGTAAATTCAGTTTTAGACTAATAATATTGGCCCTCCTGCCTATTATGAGCAAAGACGTGATTTACACACATTTAATAGCCCCATTCATTTCAAGCAAATACGTTTATTACAGTTATGTTATACGATCATTATATACCACTAGGAAATATACATTATATTCATATAAATAGATTAGTCTATATGGAAATTGTTTTTTTTTTCTTCACCATTATTTCTAAGCCTTAACTGGTGCAAAAGAAGTGAATCACAGATCACATCAGGTCATCTGTAATGTATCTGCTTGTTTTACACTCTTTGGCCACCAGGTGGTATTGTGAGCAAATGAAGCCTCCAGAAATTAACCCTTTTGTGAACCACTTGGATGAAAAGCTTCAATGCTTCATAAGGCTTCATCTCGCCATCACTAAACTAAACCAAGCAAGAGAACACAAAATGAAAAATCACAGCACATGTTCACAAAGACCGACTGCTCTAATACGCTGGCATTTCCCTTTTATAGCACTGCTGGACTGCTGGATAGGGATGGGCGTATCGATCCGAAGTATCGATATATCGATAC